CAATTTCGGTCTGGATTGACACAACTGCTGTTTTTCACAAGCTCAAAGTACTCGACAGCAACAGGGCTAACTTACATGGGGATGATGATCATTGGGTGCACTCTTCCGGTGACACTATGTCATTTCCCACAATGGGGAAGCATGTTTTTCCCACCAACCAAAGACCCTGTTAAGGGAAGTGAGGAACATTATTATGCCGCAGAGTACACCGAAGCTGAGAGGCAGAAAGGTATGCACCAAAACAGCTTGAAGTTCGCCGAGAACTGTCGATCGGAGCGTGGCAAGCGCGTGGGATCCGCACCTACTCCTCCAAATTTAACGCCTAATCGTGTCTGAGTTTCTCGGATTTTGGTTCTTTTCTCTAAGGGGATGGATGATTGTCAATCTCTTATTGATGGTTCAATGAGCCTCAATAAGTAGAGATTTAAAGAATGTACCCTGAATTTTCTTTCTTCTGTCTTTTTTTTTTTGTTTTTTTGTGTGGTTACATATCTGGATTTGAAATTATATACGAAAAATTTTCAAGTACTATAAATTGGCTTTCGTAGGTATGAATTTTTTCTTATTCACATATTTCTTCACGTAATCCTTAAGTTACCTTCTAAAATGGTTAAGCTTCAACTCCTGATATCATTTTTCTTCTTACATTATATGCGACAGAATAAGTCATCTCAAGGTTATATTGTATTCACTTCCTTATTTCTCATACCAACCCACAAACATTTACGGTATAAAAAAAATAGTTTACACGCGTTCACTAAGAAATTTATACCATGGACATCCAAAATTATTGTATTACTACCTCGTTTCCCAGAGACAATATTTTTCAATATTATACTTTATTTAAATCTAAAGTATTTTATTAGTAGTAAAAGTGGTTGAAGGCGTCAAATGTAGTAGTTACCGGAGCAACTGTGAAGGCATAGTGGAAGATATATTATAAGATAGACCAGGTGATTCACTGGATTCTGAACATATTAAATTCAATTGCAATTTGAAATTTAATCCACAATGAGTTGAAGTCTTATAGATAGTGAAACTACAGTAGCAAACAGTTGCAATGTATGCGGAAGAAATGCCCCAGATCAAGAAGATGTAGTTAGTCCTTGTCTAGGTTTTGAGAGCCTATTTTTGCTTAATTAATTAAAAGTAGTTGATAAGTATCTATGTACTGAAAAATAGTACTTTTAGGTAGTGAAACTGGCGTACCATGTAGTAAAAATAAAAATAAAAATTAGTGAATTAATTAATTAATTCTGAGACAAACGTAATGAAGCCAAGTCAACTTTCCTACCACTTGGGAATTAAAATCGTGTACCCACAATGTTTCAAATTAGCTTATCTTAATACTAGAAAGAGGATTCATCAGGTAGTGGAAAGTATCCTGCTCTTATCAGGGAGAGTATTCTAAGATTACAATGATTCATTAATTAGCCCAACAAACGTAAGCATATGGATTTCAGTTGCGAATGAAAGCTTTGAATGATAATAGAGAAGGCAATGACAGAACTCGCTACTCAGTCATGATTCAGGATGAAGAAAATATGAGTTTAACTTATATACAACGATATTGTAAACTATTTTTCCTTTACTTTATCAGGTCGCTCAAAAGATATTTAGAAGTTACGCTATATAATAGGTGTTACAACAATAAGGCTATATATATCCATACTATATTAATAGTGGGAAGCTTTTAAGTTAAAAGTTAAATTACTAAAATGCCCACTAAAAATTAAAGACTTTTTAATAAATATATTGAAATAAAAAAAATTATTAATTTGAACTGAAGAGTCCTTTCCTGAAAAGGTTGCGTCCTTTCAATTGTTTAACTAACCTTTACAGTTGAAACAAACGTTTCCTTTCAAAATTGGTGTCCATCCATTAGCAACCTAATTATAAGAAGATGCTCTAAAGGTTCTGAGCAGCCAACACATAAGAATAGACGAAGAGAGAAATCAAAGCATTCTTCTTTCTGCCAACTTCTCAAAAGTTCACTACGAACGGATACATTTTGGGTGCTCTTTAGATTTTCTTTTTCTTTTTCAAGATTACCTTCTCCAATAAAATATGTGAATTTATATAAGGCAGAATAGCCTAAATGACACCTATACTTATGCCACTTTGTCATGCCGGTCCCCAAACTTGACAATTTGCCAATTGAACCCTTACACTCCTTCAAACCGTGTATAATAAACGCTTATGACAGGAGGCTGCCAGTGCGTGTAATACAATCTTCTCCACGTTGGTTGCCACGTCAAAATAACAATGTGTAGATGCCATGTCACATGGTAGATTAAAATAATCAAAATAAAAAAATAAAAAATAAAATTCAAACATTAATTCCCTAATCCCCGCCCTCATTGATTTCTCTCTCCCCTCACGTTCTTTCTCCTGCCCATCTTGTTTCTCTCTCTTCGTGTTCTTCCTCCTTTCCCCTTCCAATTCTTCCCTTTTTATATTGTAGAAATAATATTAAAATATGTAAAGAAAAGAAACCGAGAAAAAATTATTTTTTTTCTAGATCGAAAAGTGGGAGAAGAAGTTCGGTGGTCCATTTCCATGGCTTAAGGCGTTAGGTGGCGGAGAAGAAGTTCGATGGTCCATTATTGGTTTAGCTCAAAAATTAATACCCGCTGCCCCTTTAGTATATTTTTGACTTGTTCAGAATTCAAGAGTAGTAAAAAATGACACCATAGGAATACAGAGATGTTTAAGGGAACTCGAGGGATTGAGTTTTTTTTTTGGAAGGGACGAGCGGGGGAGTGGGGAAGAAGAAGAAGTAGCATACAGGGGAAAAAATCGAAAAGGGAAGAGCCGAGGTTGTTTTGGGGAGAGGGGGTTGGGCGGGGAAGAAGAAGAAGCATACAGGGGGAAATAATCGAAAAGGGAAGAGGAAAGGGAGGGGTGCGGTGTTTGTTGGATGGGGTGGGGGTGGAGTGCGGGGGGGGGGGGGGGTTAATAAGGAAAAGTAAGTAAGGTGGGGTGGGTTGCGTGGAAGAACTGAAAGAGACGATATCTCCTTTGCTTTTTTTCTTTTTTGACTTTATTTTATCTTTATCTTTTTAATTATTTTTCATTTTTATTTTAATAATTTTTTTCTTCTTATTTTAATTATTTCTTGTTTCAAAATTTTAATATGCACGCTCGTTGTCCGCGTGAATTACACCCACTTTGTCCAGCTCAACCATTTTGTTGCCACATGTGCTTGGTCACGGTCAGAGGGCTTAAAATATAGGCTTTGATCAAGTTAAAGTGTCTGAATGAAAACAGTGAAGTTTTGGGGACTGGCATGACAAAGTGTGACAAGTATAGGTGCCATTTAGGCCATTTTGCCTTTATATAATTCAATATTATACCTTTTGAGAGACTTCCAAGATCAGTCTTTGAGGTCTTATTCAACTGGACAAAATTGAAGATAGTATCCCTCATGGTTAGAATTTAAGCAGCAGTAATTTGTTCCGATCGTCCGTGATTAGAACACTTGTAACGTAATGAAACCTTACCTGTTAAATGTGGAATCCATCAAAATTCATAGTGCGTACTGTAAGATTTACGTCAATGGTCATAATAATGTTAAGCACGCAGGAAACTTAGAGTCCGACTCTTAAAATGAGCCACATCCATAATCAAAGATGATTTTTGTAAGATTACTTTATGTAGAACTGCCATGTCCATATATCATGAGTATATTCGTTTTAAATACCTCTTGAATTAAGGAGCCTGAACGTTGACTTTGAATACTGCTATTTCTACTGCTTTGAATTTGCTTATATACAATACCCTTTCTTTTCTATCTTCCGAAGCGTCAATGTACTTTAGATTTATTTTTCTATCCATTTACTCTTTATATACTATTAATCTACAACAATAACCGATAATGCCTTACACATGATGTTGATATGTTCAAGAGTAATCAAATTTTTCATTTATTTTCGTCCCTTTTCTAGAAATGAACATGTTTTATATTTATGATTAATATATGATGTAGATTCTTATAATTTTGTTGTTCAATATTGTTTGGCTCAAAAGTTATCGATATACTTTGGCAAGCTTAAAAACAATCAAAGTAGGAAAGGGTTAAATCGTAATCAAATATAATAGACCTAGAGATGGAAATGAAGTTGTTGTTGTAGATCTAATAGTGTAAAATGATAATATGAACTCAAGAAGAATATTCGTTAGAGATAGGAGATAGAGAGAGAGTAGGAGAAAATGAGAGAGTTGTATTATTCTCCAATCCTCTTTTTACAATGTGAAGGTCTCCCTTATATAGTAGGAAGACCTTCCTCGAAATAATAAAAAGATACAAAATAGGTAACGTTTTCCTAGTGAAGACACTGAGTCTTAAACGATGTCGCTTTTGTCGCCCACGTCAAGTCGTACCCTTAACGTTAGTTTGACGTATACTCATTGGGGTGCCCATTGGCGTAGAGACGTTGACGGTCAAATTTGACCCTATATAGTTAGTCCCTCCGTTCGTTGGAGACGCATTCGGTAGCGTCTTCAATGGGCGAAATGCAAACCTCGTCTTAGGGAGAATTTGACCTTCGACCTTGGGCGGCAATGTGCATGAGGCAAAATGTATGACGTTGTTGAGCCACTGACGCGTGGCTTCCTTTCTGGAATGATGTCATCGCCTGTATGCGTCACCATTATACTTACTCCCGAGGCGGTTCAAAGGATGATGTGACATTTTGGTTTTCCCAAGCGCACGGTTTCGAATCAATGATTCTTCGATTTCTGGCGCAACCTAACCCTATAAATGGGGAGAGGGTTCAATCCGATTTCATCTTTCGAACCTTTGTATAAACATTTTTCCAGTTTACTTCTTTGCCTTTCTTTCTTGTAACCGTTTTATTTCGTGTGAGACTCCTCCACTTCTTTGAAGTCATATTTCTCGTCGTTTTAGTGCCTTATTTTTCCAACAGAATCATCATGGTAAAACGTCGTCAAGGTGGTAAAAAGACCAAGGACACTGACCCATCTAGGGTTCCGCCTTCCTATGGCGGTGAGGAGGAGGAAAGTGAAAAGGCCTCGTTCCCCTTACTGTAGACAACGTCCTCCCAAAGGAAATGCATATTCGAAAAGGATTTTTCAAATGAAAAGATACCAGCCCTTCCCTGGGAGCATAGTGTTTTTACCTGCAATCTCATCTAGGACAACCTTCGAGTGACACACAACATTCCTGATCCATGTGGAAATGGCTCCGGCTGGGATGGACTATGCCAATGTGCACAGGCCTGGGTACTACACATTTTACGAGTACCCATTTTTGATCCGGTTATAGTGCCTCCCGATTTTACCCCTCTAGCGGAGGAGGCTTTGCCGTTTTTTCAAATGTGTGTCCGTGCTCAGCTTACTCCTTTACACCTTGAAGTGTGCAGGATTCCTGACCACGTATGCAGCTAAAGGTCTGAGTGCGGCCGCTCCAGTTCATCATCTTTTACAGTTATTCAGCCCTGGTTACCCGAGGGGTACCATGTTGCAATTGAATAAGCTGTGGCACGAAAGGGTTTGGGTAGTTAAGT